TTAAGTGAATTGGCACTTCCCATTGACTTTTAAGAGGTCAGCAGGGTAGGTCACCAAGGGTGGTCATGTGACCTAGAGATGCTGCAACCATCAGAGATACATGCTTGGTTGCCGATCAGATTTTGACGTGGCCATAGGGATGGTCGGAAGTGCGAGGACCATCATTTGTTTCGGTGCCATTCCAACTTTGAACAGAGACTAAATAAATACATTGAGAGCTATCTGTATTCTGCAGTTGTGACGATATATTTGTGGTCTGTTTGCAAAGCCCTGTCTTGTCATTAATCCCCAACTGGCAAATTATTAAGAATGCTCCTGCACAGGTGTCAATTTACATATTTCTCGAAGCGTTGTTCCAAGCCAGAGGTCTCCAAACTTGGCAACTTTAAGACTTGTGGACTTCAACTCCCAGAATTCCTCAGCCAGCTAGCCCAACTCAACGTTTTGATGGAATGAATACGGACTGCCTTTTCATATACATATATCTAAATGAAGGATGATCGCTCGTGTGTATACACCAGGGGTCTCCAAACTTGGCAACTTTAAGACTTGTGGACTTCAACTCCCAGAATTCCTCAGCCAGCCAAGTCTTGCCAAGATTGGACAAACTTGTCCTAAATATTGAGATGAATTGCCCTGGATTGCAGGTGACATCCTTAACCATCAGCCTTTAATAAACCATAAACTGGCTGAGGAATTCTGGGAGTTGAAGTCCACAAGTCTTAAAGTTGCCAAGTTTGGGGACCTCTGTTCCAAGCCTTCTTTATCCTGAAAAAAGCAACTTGCAAAAAATAAAAAAAAAACTGGCAAGAATTGCTCTCTGTGGATCTCCAACAATCCAGGATTTTTTCCACTGGAAAGGAACTCAATCCATTCCTGCAACCTGCAAGGGTTTTTTTTTTTTTTGCAGCCAAGATCGTCCTTCCGGTTCCCTCCGAGGTCCAAGTGCAAACGTAAGAAGGTGGAAGCCACCCAATCAAAGCCGATCAGAGGATCTCCCTACCTGTCTGTCCCGAGATTTATTAAAAGCACAGCTCTATCTTTAGAGACACCTTTAATCTCCGGCGCTTGTTCTTCTAACCTCCGGCTAAAGCCAGTGTTTGCCTTCAGCCGGTTCGACCTGCTCCGACAAGCTCTCCCACACTTCCTGGTTGGAGAACTTCCGTCCAGGAGGTTTTCCGACCTGCTAAAAAGTCCATGGACAAAAGCTAAATTTGTTGGAACCCATCCACGCAGGTGCCCAGCCTCAAAACTTGTGGGTTTTTTTCCCCCCCCCCCAAAAGGACACGCCAGCTTTTTCTGCACTGCCGTTCTGAGGTTCCTCCAGGCCTTCAGGTTGGTGGGACTGGGGCACTGCCCTCTGCCCTTCTGCAGTGGCACTACAGAGGTCAGATATCCCCAGGGAGATGGCTCAGGGATGTCTGGGGACCTTCTCTTCTGCTCTCTCTGCAGGGAACCCTGGATGACTTCCCTCCATCCTCTCCAGAAGAGGTTCCCTGGCAGAGACGTGGCTTCCTTGGAAGGTGGCTTGGCCTGAGCAGGTCCCTGAGGTCTCCTCACTTCTGCGCCTCCAGAGGAATTCTGTCTTGCCTTAGGGCTGAGTGGAGGAACTGTATATATGTGCATGGGTGTTTGTGTGAGTCTATTGTCTGTCTGTTGTCTGTCTGTCTGTCTGTCTATCTATCTATCTATCTATCATATCTATCATCTATTTATATCTGTCTGTCTATCTACTATCTATCATCTATCTATCTATCATCTATCTATCTATCTATCTATCTATCTATCTATCTATCTATCTATCTATCACTTTCTATCTACCTATCTACTATCTATCATCCATGTATCTATCTCTATATCTGTATCATCTATCTATCTATCTATCTATATTTATCACTATCTACCTACCTATGTACTATCTATCATCCATCATCTATTTATTTATCTATCATTTATCTGTCTGTCTATCTATCTCTATATTTATTGCTATCTACCTATGTACTATCTATCATCCATCATCTATTTATCTATCTATCATTTATCTGTCTGTCTATCTATCTATCTATCTCTATATCTATCGCTATCTATCTACCTATCACTATCACCCATCATTTATCTATCTATCTATCTATCTATCTATCTATCTATCTATCTATCTATCTATCTATCTATCTACCTACTACCTACCTACCTATCTTTCTCTATATCCATCGCTATCTATCTACCTATCACTATATATCATCCATCATCTATTTATCTGTCTCTATATCTCTATCATCTACCTACCTACCTATGTATCTCTCTAATCTACTCTATCATCTCTCTAATCTCCCTCTTTCTTCATGTAATTAGTTTTTGTGACTTCCCAACAGTTTCCGACAAGCAGAGTGAATGGGGGATACCGAAAAGCCATGTGACTCACTTAACAACAGCAGGCGTTCACTGAGCAACAGCCAAGGAAATCCCTGTCTCAGCTGTCGTTGTAAGTGAAGGGCTTTCTCTCCTCCTATCTCCTCCTATTCAGCTGCTCACTGCTTACTCACAGGCCCCTCCCCCTTACTTGTCCCTACTTGTCTTCCAGAATGGCTTCCCAAACACCTGGGATCCCTTTCCAGCGCTCCTCCTCCTCCTGCTGTGGGAACCAATGGCTTCTCTTTCCCACACGCAGACACACCAGCGCACTAATCGCCTTCCGAGCCCTCGGAACGCCTGCCAACCTCCTGTGCCCTCCCAACAGGTGAGGCAAGACCAATGATGCCCCCAGTTATCCAAAGACAAGGTGGCTGCATGCCATCACATCCTTGAGAGGCCCCCTCCCTGCCAACGTCCTCTCTCGTGGTTTACCTGGATCGGATTACCTTTCCAGCAGGCCCCACTTCCTGTTCATTTTAAAAGGAAAACAGGTGGAGCACACCTGGGAGGTATTGCAGAGCGATGGCGTGATCCCTGGCCAACTGGTTTGTGAGATCAGCCTCTCCTTTTCCTTCCCCTCTCTTCCAACCAGAAAGAGCCAACGTTTTATTTCCTAGAAATATTTGAATGACGGATTTATTCAAGCCATCTTGTTTCCGGCTAGGCGTCTCTTTATCTCTGTCTTCTCTTTTTCTGAATCGGTGCTGGGTTGAGGAAATTGGCCTCCCACTGAAGTAGGAATTAGATCAACCCAGTGGTTCCCCAACTTTATTTAGGGGTGGGATTGTGTTAAGCTAAATAAATGGATCAGGTAATTGTTGAATTTCTGGGCTCTGTAAACTCTCCAGGGGTTGGACTAGAACAGGGGTCTCCAACCTTGGTAACTTTAAGACTAGTGGACTTCAACTCCCAGACTTCCTCGGCCAGCTGGCTGAGGAATTCTGGGAATTGAAATCCACTAGTCTTAAAGTTGCCAAGGTTGGAGACCCCTGGACTAGATGATCTCTGAGTCTCCTTCCAACTCGATTATTCTGACTTCAACTCCCATAATTCCCCACAGGCTGCTTTCCTTTATTGTCATTGCACCTCATCCAACAAAATTAAATACCATCTTCAGTGTACATTATGATTATGAAAATACACACAAACGCACATCCTTCACGCTCCACATATTGAACTGAAAAAACCCCCCGATATTGCATTCATATTGCACTATACAGTAGAATTCAGTAGAGTTACTGCCCTGGGATAGAAGCTATTTTTTTTTCAGCCTATTTGTCCTTGTTTTTATTATTATCCTGTACCGTCTGCCAGATGGTAATAGTTTTTTTTTTTTTAAAAAAAGGGGGTTCCCAGGATGAGATGGATCTTTGAGGATGTTTTG